CTGCCCAGGATGAGGTGGTGAGGCTTCGAAGGGTGTTGGAGAGGCAGGGCACCTCTGAGCGTGATGGAGGAGTCTGTCGTCGGCCAGCTGAGGTCGTGGAGGTGCGTGCGGTGATGCCGACTATGTTATCAGAATATCGCTTGCATATACTGGCTGACATTGAGAGGAGGCTTGAGAAGATGCAGGCGGCAGGGGAGATATTATCGGCTACCAGGTTGTCACGGCGCTACCATGGTCCTATGTGATTGTTTACAGGTTGCTCGTGATGCGTTGGTAGTCGTGGTGATGATGACGGGATTGCGTGGTAGTGTTACATTGTCTGTATGGGCGACTCCAGTACCGTATCGACGACCGGCTTTGGTCCTCTATGGGCTACAATAGGAGCTGCTAATCAAGTTAATCAACATGTAGGCTATCGAGGCGCGGCATGGCTCGTTGGTTCATTCTTCTGTGGCAGATCGGATGTACTGCACGAACGGTGAAGCTAGTGTCGAGGAAACAGATATTTCTCATACTGCCGGACCAGGATGCTAGTGCTGGCTTAGAAGGGGGGAAGTGAGTAGCTCCTGAGGTTCCTATTATATCGTCCACTGTAGGGAAGTATTCACACTGTGAAAATTCTGAGGAAAGTTTCGGAATTCTCATTGTTTTTTGTACATTTTTACCCGGATTCGCATATCAACTTCTACAACCAGTGAGGGAACTTCTGAGCTCAACTGAGGAAAGCAATCATGTATTTCAGCACTGTCCTTCACTTCAGTGGGTCTGTTGTCAGGGCGGTCCGTATATTCCCCTGCTCGATGAATCCTCTAGATAGTCTGCGTCAATGGCATGATGAGGGAGAAGTCCCGGAAAATGCAGTAGCTCTTTCTTGGGCGGTAAGCTGAGGTGTTGTTGCTGTGGGCACGTCGAATGTATCGACGTTGTGGTCAGACTTTACTAGGAAAGATGAAGTCCCGCAAGGGACGGGTGAAGGTTGAAGCCAAGGTTATAGGCGAGGACGATAGAAACGCCTGGTGGATCATGTCTGCTAATGAGTTTGAGCCGGGGACGGTATCGTTCTGTTGCATGGAGGAGGAGTATAGGAGCTACTATATACGGCATAATAACGACAAGATAGATGTAGGAAGGGGATGAGCAGCAGTACTGGGGTGTAGTGTTTATCAGGCTTGTATAGAGGAGGTGGGTAGTGGTGGCTTCAAGCAAGCGGCGTCTT